CCGGGCCTGGCATCAGCCTCTGCGGGCCCGCTCCGCTGTGCTTCCCCGGGCGCCCGGCCTGGAGCGGGAGGGGCAGGCGGTGGGGGTGAGGAGTCTCGTTGAACTCTCTGGGCCGAGTTGGGTTGCAGAGGCAGCGAGGAGGGTGCTGCAGTTGCATATTTGTCTTCGCCCGCTTTGTTTTGTGCAGTGGTTAAACGTCAGCAGGTTTTTATTTGGCTTCACGGTAATGTCTTGTGCTGCCTGGCAAACTTAGGCATGTCCTTGTGAAGTTGGGGGTGTCCTTGTGGTTCCTTGCTGCTGTCAGGAGATGCAGCTGTATGGGCACACGACCCGCAGCTGCCATCCAGGGCAGGCCTTGGGCCAGAGGTTACCAACCACTGGTCCGTGCCCTGGTACCAGGCTGCAAAGGGTTGGCTGCTGGGTTGTGGCATGAGCCCCCGGCTCCGACCTCATTTGTCTGCCTGGGTGAGTGGCTTATGCTGTAGGCAGTTACATGCAGGGTTAAAGCTGGGCGGTGGGGCAGCCCCCAGAGGGAGTGTGCCCGATCCTGCTCCCATGCTGGTCTGCAGTATGAAAAAGGATGGGAACCACTGCTTTGGGCCCCTGCTGTCCAGGCTCCCTGTCTTCTTGTTTGGGACAGTAGCGGCATTGATGATCCAGTGTGTTGTGGTGTATCGAGAATCTGGTAAAGGCTTCTGTGAGCAGCTAATGTTTTTTGGAAGTTTGGGCTGGTAAACTGAGATGCTGCTTACCTTAGTTTTGGTCTCCTTAAAATACAAAGAGGAGACAAGTGATACAGCCGCATGGAGGGGTAGAGAACTGCGTGAAAAGGGATAGATAGATCTGGTAATATCTGTACCCTGGTCACTGTGTATTAGAACTGCGTGGTAAGAGATTGATGCATCTGAAAATATATTTACCATGGTCACCTGCCACACTGCAGGTGGGGCTACCATCCACTCCAAGTTCAGGGGAAATCTTCTGTAATTCTTCACAGTCAAGGGTGATTGTCTTCAGTGGTTGTTTTATGTGCGTGTCCAAAGATGGGTGATGAGGCCTGTCTGGGATTGACAGACTCTGCTGCATCTTGGACATGTGTTTCTGTGTGGGGTGGGTGGCACTGTATTTTTTTATTTGGTCCCCAACATGCTATTTCTGCTGCTCCTGCTTTTCCATTTCTTGTCATGAGATTTCAAAGTGCTGAGACCCCCTTCCTCCATTTGGGTTGGTCCTGGGCAATAGTCTCCCATGAGTTATGGGGAGTACTGCCCACATAGCGAACTTATTTTAGTTTTAAAATGTGTATAAATTCAATGTTTGTGAAAAGTGATGAATTGGCAGCCTTAGGGCTTGAAGTTTCCTATGTGCCGCTCATGTATAGATCGCACACAATGACAGTAGTTGTTGCTTCCTTGTACTTTGTTAAGCTGGAGGCATCAATTTAAATTGGCTTCAAAGCAATTTAGTTCCCAGCTCCTCTTAGTTTTTGACCAGTAAGGTTAAAACCACCAACAGAATAATAAATGATTTCCAGCACTTTTTTTACAGCATTTGTTGTTTAAGGATCTTGGATCCCTTTACAAAATAAAGTATGTATAGCCATCTCATTTTGTAGAGGAGGAAATCAAAGCAGGAAAGTCACTTTGTAAGCCTATAGAGGTGAATAGACAGCACATTCCAGGGCTCCTGACTCCTGGTTAAGTGCCCTATTTGCTTGACCACTGATCTTAAGGGTGTTGTGTTTGTTTGCCTCAGTTACAAGGTGATGACTGATTGAGTAACAAAGCAAAGAAAATTATGGAAAAGCATACAAGCATGGAGCAAATAGGTTGGTTTTTTTTGCTTTGGAATTCCAGGATTATGTGAATGTGTTATGAAAATTCCTTGTAAGGTTTTTTGGTGAGGGGTTTAAGGATAAACGTGTGATAAAAGAATGAATTTTGTGTTTGTGCTCTGATGTGGTTATCTATCCATCAGAAGTGAAAAGAATCTGTTGGGGGGGGTTTGTAGTTTACCTATTGTTCATTAGATGATGATTGTTTCTGATTGCTACTAGATTTGGCTG